TTCCAGCTTCTATGGTCATAGCCTTGTGAAATCGCTCTAACGAGTCTCTCGACAACAGCTTCTCTACCATTTCGAACAGTTGGTTGACTCTGTGTTCCAACTCCGAATACTACACTCTCCTCATTGTCACTCGCAGCGAAAAATTCCGCACAATCGTTACCAGATTTTCCGTCCTGTTCTCTCCAACCATCGCTGTCAATTTTACCTTGTCATGATGTGGGTCCAGCAGGCTTTGCACAGATTGCTGTTTGAGTAGCCGTTCTCTTGCACCACCCTCCAACTCGAGAAGCCCAATCTCTAGATATCTGTCCAGCTGCTGGAAAAATACCATAAAATCCTCCTGTTCCTCCTATATCGCTAAGGGAAATTTCGCCACTGCTCGCTGTCTAGCGTCCTCCTTCACAAATTATTCACAAATGCATCCCGCATCGCAGCGAAAGAACAGCCAGAATTGGTTTCCCGAGTGAGCAAATACGTCGCCTTCGCTCTTAAATCCAACAACGTGCCGAAAGCAGTTAGCAAATTAGCGTCACCTTTGACCACGTTGCAATTAGCAATGGCCTCAAATTCATGGAGCCATATCTCTACATGTCGATGCGCGAATTTCGCTGGCCAGGTCAGCTTCATCCTGATTGGTCCCGGCACCAGTGTAGCGAGAACGAGACAGGCAGGGGCAGAACGTGTATTGCTACAACAATGTGCAACTGGCATCTCACAAAACCGTACAGACATGGACCATGGTTCCTTCCCACGACGCAACGCGGATGAGGATTTGTGTGACGGACCACTCCATGTGCCTACGAGTATGAGCTTTGGAATCATCCCTCCATGTTGTCATCCCATATCTCCGCTTCGCTATATCCGATTCTAGCCAGCCAGGAGTCGTTCGAAATCTCGCACATTGCTTTCCCGTGGCTGCATCCGTCGGCCCACGCTCAGTCTTGTGGGCCTCGCTAGCGGTGTATTTGTAGGATTCAGTGCGAACTCGACAACTACGTCCTCCGTCTTTCTGGGCCCAGACTCTTTATCGGATGTCGCTCTTGATCCGCTGTCGACTCGATCCGCAAGGCTCACACTGCCTTGTCTCGTCTCATCTATTGGTAACTCCTTACTATCCCTCTTTTGCTGTTTTCCCCTTCACAAGTAGTCGTTGGCTTCCGCCGCCTTACATGTAGACGCATTCTTTCGGGACCATTCCTATCCACTGCAACGTTATTAACTAACGTGGCACTAGAGGATAAGACGCGATATATCACCGTTGTTTTGTATATATATTCACGTTTTGACTCTGTCTCTTATGGCTCAGTGGCTTAAGCTGCTGGCTGGCCGTGCAAGTAGCTGGTGGTCATGGGTTCGAATATTGATTCATCCGATGGGTACTCACTACTGATGATGCCCCAAAAGTTGAAACGGCAGTTTAGGGCTGTTCCGGGCCTGCGAATGACTATCTGGTTTGGAGCTTGCTGCGACGGGCTCTCAATTAAAAACATCGAAATCTCTACTTAAGAACCTGTTAGTTTTTCAAACATAAGATGATCACATACAGATCAGTGTGTCTAAGGAGTTGGCAGATAAAAAAGTTGTACTCTTATGCGCTAACGGGGGCCGAAGTCACTTTAAGGTGATTCAGGCCAGGTTCGTTCGAAAATCAGTAATTATGACTTCGGTGTCGGATCAAGTTGGGTCACTGGGAGGATTAAACCGCACACTGTTTACCACGACAATGGGAAGACGAGTATTACTATATGGTATAATTTTATGCCATCTGCTTACGTGCATAATTGCAACATGTTTGATGCGCATCTGAAAAAGTTGATGGTCCTAGCTCAATTGGAAGGAGGGACCATGGAGACAAAAGCGACACCAGGTCCACGAGCTGACAAGCGTCACGAACGGAGAGGACCGTTGGATGTGACGAATGGCTATATTAATTTTCACTAAACTAGACATTGCAAACGAATAGTCAATGAATTGGTAAGCTTGATTGTTCAAGTATTTTCATTGCAACGGACAGTCGTACATGCTGGGTCGTGGTTAACCTGCTGATCTGCTTCCAGTATGCCTCAACACCATCGATGAGGTCATTAGCCCGTACGTGGACGCATGTCCCATTGCATCGTCATCATGGAGGTCGCCTTCACGATCTAATTGGCCAGACAGAGAAAAGTTGTTCCTGATGGCTATTAAGAACAACTTTTCGTCAGGACAATCTGAATTCAGCTATCTCGCATGTTATCATCATCCGTTTGCATACGATTAGTGCAATGGCTGTATACAACCTAAGCATTCCACTCATTGTATGTAAACAGCTAATGGGAATACGCGAAACAGCTGAATTCAGATTATCCTGACGAAATGTTGTTCTTACTTGCCATTTTGAAATTCGTGAAGGGAGAGTCTTGAATGAAAAGTTAGTTCTATCCAACTGGTTGCAGAGGTAAAAACGAAATCTTAACTGCAATGAGGTGCAGCGATGGCCATTGGCGTGGTTCTTACGGAATGCGTTAATAAGTAGCTAGTCATTCATTGATTGTGTATCGAACCGTTGTGCCTATGTGTCATTCAATGTGCTTTACCATGTCGTCAGCTTTGCATTTCAACTGTTAGCAGATGGTTACCTTTCAAAAGGCGAAGATAATCATCGTCTTGCTTCACGCGGCTAGGAACACTACTAACTACCGCCTCTATTTTAACAATATGCTCCTGCTAGGTTATTGTGAAACAATATCCTATAGTTCCAGCGCTTCACCCATCTCTTCCCCCTGCCTAAACGGATGTAGTAAGCGAACTATGTTTGGGTGCTTGGTTTATTCTTCCATGTTGAACTTCATGAGTGTTGCACTACCTCGGTAAGTTCCAGTTAGTTCAATTTCGTCCCTGTTAACTCACTCGAAAAAACAACGTTTCATCGTTCTCATTCTCTTGTGATGCATACCTATGTTGCGAATTTCAACCAACTAATTCATTGGAACACCAGCGTTTTCCAAGCCGAGAATTGGATCTCACCTGCATAGCTGTCTATCTATTATGCAAACAGCAGAACGTGTGATCGTTAGTGAACAATTTCGTTTCGGTTTTTAGGGGTGCCGCACTATGTGAAGGATTGTTTGGAGGTCAGCGCTTAGGTCAACTTTGAAATATGCCGTGCTTTCGATCTGCAGTCGGTCTGTGATTGTATGCCTGTGGGTGTACGATCGCAAAACTGACACGCATTCCGGATTGGGCTGGGTCCAATGTGAATAGCTGCGAGTTAGACCACCTCGAGTACGGGGGCGACCAGTCGATTATAGTATTGGCTAGAGATGATTGACTATTGAGCTGGCTCCAGCTTGGAACAGTCAGTGATATAAGCACTTCCCTGTATGCTTCTGCATTTACTTGAGTTATCGACGGTAGCGGTCAAATCTACATTGGGTCAGGTGACGACAAAATGCGCATATTATCCAGTGGCGTACAGCAGATCTAGAGTCCGGGACGCTGTTATGACTGTATGGAGTCGAGAACTAAGAACTTATTACCCTCCAGATGAAATAAACTATCGAAACTCGTTCGAAATAAACAAAACGAGGTTATCAATCGCGTTTCCCCAGAGATTCTGTGTTCGCTATGCTGCTGAACAGTAACCGTATTCAAAACCTGGTCAAAAGTATTACTGGACATCGGAGTTACCAGAAGCTGATAAACAAGCTATTCCAGTCGCTTGTTACAGTGAATGAAAGATTGACAAGCAGAGAGTTTGAAGCTGATGTTCAACAGAAACCAATCGGCGTCGGTCGCACTCAAAACTAGATCACGCCCCATTAATTTTTAATAGGTAACAATCAAGTAAAACGAGGAAGTTTTCTATTTTAAGTCTTTGTGTGAAGGTCTTCACTGTATGGCTCATGATGCGCAAGCTCTTTCAAAAATCAAAGAAAGAAAGGGTAAATAAACCAACTTTCTGTATAATGATTTCCCAACATAACATCGGCGTAGCAAAAAAAGCCGACTGTTGGATCAAAACAGAATATCTCCAGAGCAAAATATAAGACACTTAAACAAAGAAATATAGCGTAATCGACGATATATCTTAAAACCTACTCAAAAGCGACATGGTTAACAAGTGAGTATACAAACAAACGGGGGCATTCGCGAAAATAAACTAATTGTGCCCATAAATCAACGATTAACTGGAGGATGCAAGTCCCTGTCCATTTATGCGCAGACAAAGGAAAAGCTCAAACCGAGCAGACGCATCGAGTGCTCGAGTTGGTAATAACAATTAACCCGAGTTTTGGCAAGTAATTTATTTACAAATTGATAAAGAGTAAGCCAGCTTGAACCAACTAGGTAACTGTCCCAACACGTCCAGGTTTGCGAACGAATCGACACAGAACTATTTTCGGTTAACATTTGACTTTGTGTTTAGAGTCAGATAGTACAAAGTGATTAAGGTAAGCAACTGAATCGCTCGACGTGCACGGGTTACAAGGCCCAGGTGGAAGTGAAACTTTTGTAGACCAAAAGCACACAAGCATAAGGTTAGGCCTCCGCAGTTTAGATTCAAGTACTTCTCTAACTTCAAGTGGTTTACTAGTAGAATTACTATGAAAAGCCGAATTGCAATCTCACGTAACGTTAATTAGGGCTGTTGAGCACCTAACAAGCAGGATCAAAGAATGTTTTCAAAACTATTTGGAAAGAAGTTGAAGCACTTTCCGACTCGCTGACTCAGGTAAGAAAGGACAGGCTAAAAAGAAGTACATTCAAATTACACTCTTAGATTTCCACTACCTATAAGTAAAAAGAGAACGCTATTCTTAAGGTATACCAAAACAAATTAACTACTAATTTACCGGAGGGCCGGTTCATTATTGTCACAAGGTTTTGAAGTGAATAGTCGGGTAGAAGGAGGAAATATAGGAAAATGTTCTGCACAGCTTTGTCTACAAACTTCTTGATACAATCAAGGTGGTAGATATTTTCTAGAGTAAGGGAGGGAGCCATTGGATAAAACTAACCCAACTTGTTGATGCCAGCATTTCAGTTGGCCGGCGCATCCTGTGCAGCAAATGAGGCTCCGGATCCATCGATATCGTCTCAAAGGTGTGTTACTTTTGTTCACGGACACCCGGTACAAGGGAGTCCAGAACATTGGTTTTTCCATGTTCGCTGAAAGGTAGAAAATGTACCCTTCGGCATACCGTTACTTCAAACTAAATAAATTTAGTCGAATTGACTAAAGTTTCTATTAAACGAAAGCTACAACCGGTAGATAACTTGTGATTTCACAAACGGATTAGAAATAACCACCTGATGTATTTTTTGCGTGACTCATAGATATGCTAAAAGGTTTACTGGGTCAAGCGGACTACAGTAAGATGTGAGCGACCTTTTGTGGCATTCTACAACGATAGTGGCAATAATAGACCTCAGATAGAGCAATTATTTCCAAATGTTGTAATTTAATCCCTGGTGGTATAAACACTTGCGTTGTCAAGCTGTTTTACTTTATAAGATCTTGGTGGTGTTAACGTTGACTTTTGACCTCCAATCGAGTCTGACCGGTGGGATCCGTCAAGTCACCTGGATTAAATCGTTTACCAAGCGTCTGACAATTCCGATCTTTCTATTTAAACTTGAACGAACAAGCGTGCTAATGGCTCAATTGTACAATCGTGGTTTTTTCACTGTTGCTCAGCAACCGTTTGTCGCAAAACGTATAGGTCTATACTTATACGTCGTGCTTTTAAAAGCCCCAACATATGATATTATCTTCTCGAGTACACTACAGTCTAGTATACAATAAACCTGAATTCTAAATTTCGGGCAGGGTTTCGCCTATATTCAAGCTCAAACCTTACGTAATTTTAACCATCAGAGAAACTATATGGTCAAACAAGATATAGCGTTTCCACGGCTTTCGAAGGACCTCTCACTCAACCACGTCTCAGAAAAAGCTCCATTGGCGCCATACATACACCTAAACAGTAAAATTCTAAATCACATCAGAGTGAATTCTGCACAAATTTAAGAAGATATACACGACGGCCACGTAAGAAAGGACAGTCATCAAACATATTACTGCAAAGTGAACACTGAGAATTGGAAGTCAGCGAAAAAACTAAACTGACGACCAATGAGAGTGAGCCAATTTGCCGGTAGGCATATTTCCATCAAAGAAAGGGATGTGCATGTAGGTACACCAAAGCAAAAGGGATCCCAGCAAAATTACCGAGCTTCGGCAACGTCAGGTTGCGAACGGTTGGGACCTAATTGCTATTACCGAAACATGGTTGCACCAAGTGGTGACTGATGCTGAGGTTGAGATAGCAGAAATGTCCCTCATCCCGAACGACCGCCCCAGCAGAGGAGGTGGGGTCCTACTCTATTACCACAGCAACCTGCAATGCGCAATATTTAATGATCTGGAAACTCATGTTACCGACTCATTCTATTGACGTCTCCGGCTAGTACACAACTACGCATGTGTCGTAGCTGCTGTGTACCTTCCCCCAACGCCCACTCTGGAAATGGATTCCCGCTTGATACGTGTCTTGAACAGATTAGCAATCACTAGGTACAGCCACATTCTCACCTTCGGCGACTGCAAACTACGCGATCTGGAAGTATCGGCCTCACCCAGTGAACAGTTCAAAGCAGATTTGCATGAACTGATCGCTAACATTCCCTTGTACAATCATGTTCCCACACCCACTAGATTCATGACAGCAAACCAACCGTCCATATTGGACCTTGTGCTCACGAATGCAGAGATCAGGGTTGACAACTTATTGATGGGTAGTCCATTAGGTCTCAGTGACCATGTAGGGATAACACTTAACTATGTGTGTTAAACAGAGCATCCAACTGAACACTCGGAACTCACGCAGTGCAAGAACTCGTCGATGCATCTGCTTGGGAATTCTCAAATTTTCTCAAATTCTCTATCTGGTTAGTGGTGCATGACGGGTGTTGACGGATGCCATGCTGTTCCTGTGCAAGGGTGTTACGTTTTTTCAGGTAGTCCATTAGAGCCTCCGCGACGACCGCTTCCATGATCTTCGCGTGCACAAGAAGGAGAGTCACTTGGTGATAGTTTTCAGGCTCTGAACGGCTACAGCCTTTAAAGATTGGGGTTATAACACCACGCTTCTACTTAGTGGGGCTGACTATTCATCGAAGCACATTTGGAAGAACTGTGACAGCGATTCGGCTAGCTTGGTGACCGCAGCCTTCAGTGCTTTCGGGTTGATGTTGTCGGCTCCCGGAGAGCTACGATCGCGCAGTGGGAGTAACTACCTTAGCACAACTGATAGGTTGAAAATTACGTGTGTAAACAATGAAGATGATATCTGCATGACATTGTGGGACAGATAGAGGCTGTAGGTGCAGTAATTGGGGCGTATTGTAGCCGCAGGGCATTAGCTGCTTCCATAGCGCTTTGTACTCTACCGCCCGTCGTGAAAATGAGGGATGCCATGCTTCACTCTACGCAGATTGGGGACATGCTTATACAGTAGTTTGTTGTTTGACAGGAATAGTTTTTGACTAGGCATTGTCGCTAAATTACTTTGTCCTTACGAACAAGTGCAGTGCAATGGTTGCGATGGGTCACGAAATTGCCTCATGTCTCTGAATCATGGTTAACCTTGTAGGCACGCCATACTACATCCCTTATCGCCGTTCCTTTTTTGAGTTCTGCTCCTTAGAATTGAAGGCATTTTTGCGGGAGGAAGGTGCTTGGTCATTGATGCTCTGTTGACGATATCGCTGAGTCTTTCAACGAACTCTGTCCAAACGTTGTCTAGGGGACTGTTGTTTGAGAATTCCCAAGCAGATGCATCGACGAGTTCTTGCAGTGCGTGAGTTCCGAGTGTTCAGTTGGATGCTCTGTTTAACACACATAGTTAAGTGTTATCCCTACATGGTCACTGAGACCTAATGGACTACCCATCAATAATTTGTCAACCCTGATCTCTGCATTCGTGAGCACAAGGTCCAATATGGACGGTTGGTTTGCTGTCATGAATCTAGTGGGTGTGGGAACATGATTGTACAAGGGAATGTTAGCGATCAGTTCATGCAAATCTGCTTTGAACTGTTCACTGGGTGATGCCGATACTTCCAGATCGCGTAGTTTGCAGTCGCCGAAGGTGAGAATGTGACTGTACCTAGTGATTGCTAATCTGTTCAAGACACGTATCAAGCGGGAATCCATTTCCAGAGTGGACGTTGGGGGAAGGTACACAGCAGCTACGACACATGCGTAGTTGTGTGTTAGCCGGAGACGACAATAGAATGAGTCGGTAACATGAGTTTCCAGATCATTAAATATTGCGCATTGCAGGTTGCTGTGGTAATAGAGTAGGACCCCACCTCCTCTGCTGGGGCGGTCGTTCGGGATGAGGGACATTTCTGCTATCTCAACCTCAGCATCAGTCACCACTTGGTGCAACCATGTTTCGGTAATAGCAATTAGGTCCCAACCGTTCGCAACCTGACGTAGCCGAAGCTCGGTAATTTTGCTAGGACCGCTTCTTCTTTAAATTACTTAGGTGGAACGTTCTCTGTTTAAATCATGTTTTTGCTAGTTGTGCAGCCGTCCGTGAATTTCTCCGACAATTGATTTTTGGCGTCTAATCATTTTCAGGAGTTTATTTAGAGATTTTTTATCGTCTTATTCATTTTCCGGGTAGTTATTGCCGTGTCTAATCTTTTACCTACAGTGGAATTTGTCGGGTCAATTTCATCCTCTGCATGTTTTATGTGCCGAAAGTTTGTAAAATCTAACTATTTAACTCAGGGACAGTCCCAGTGACCGAACCGACCTAGATTGTCAGTAAAGTGAACCGAGATCCGGATTTTGGAGGCGTGTTGCAATTCATCAACTAAACGTGGGCTTTAAACTTACTGTCACTGAGTTAGGAAGCGTTGTGGCAAGTGCTACTTGTGGCTCGTTTTTATAAAGTCGGCGACAAACGGTACGTCTGTGCGTCCCGGATTCGAGTCACAGCTCTATCAGTTCTTCAGGTTGAGTGCAAATATTTGGTAAGCGGATAATGGCGCATAAAGTTCTGCTGTTCCACACCAGTCGAGGAATGTCAAAAACACGTTCTCATGGTCTCCCCAGGCATGCTAAGCAATCATCAGTGCTCAAAAGACCGGGTTAAAGCTTTCAGTACCCAACGGACATCACCATGATCCACCTAGTGACCGTCGTTCGGATGCATGGTCATACCGTAGGCTTTTGACTGCTTAACTGCTATCTTAATTTTCTCTCACCGAGCCTATGCGTGCGGTTATCTTGACGAACTGAAAATCAGGAGCTATATAGTTACCCGGAAAGTTGACCCGTCAACCGTTTAAAATGAGGATTCCTAAACTGTCCAAACTTGCTGAGCGTTACTCCTGTCATACTCTTTTGAGGTGAGAAGCGAGTGCCGAAGACTTTGGTTCTCTGCTTCGGCCAACCTAGTGATGACTGTTTACAAGTAGGATGTGATGGAAACGGAACGTACTCTACATTTTTCAGTCTATTACCGGTTAAAATTTACCACAGGTGTAGTGCTGAGGGCAAAAGGGGGCTAAAAAGCAGAGATAACGTTGGACAATGCTGTCAAACAATGACTAGTCTTCGACCGCCACACTACGCTAAGAATTATCAAGCTACTTGCCACTGGTTGAAAAGCGGCGTCAAACGGTTCAAAGTTAATGAAAGTTTACTGAATGGAAAGGACATTTAAAAGTTGAAGGATCGAATACCACGGTCCTCGATTGCCATTTCGTCGATCGAACAATTAAGCTGAACCGATTTGATGTCAACTAGATGACTAAACATCCTGGTTGTTGAGTGTCTGCTGCCTGTAGTGCAAGTTCGATGAACAAAATCGACAGGAAACTAGTGAATTGCTGTCCGCACGAGCTGACTGCAATTTCACAAACCAGGTGGCGATAGAATCCATCCGGCCTAGAAAAAGAGAAGCGCAGCATTGTCGCAAAGAAGGGTGGATCGGGTTGGCCGGGGCAGGAGTAAGTGAACGGCACATGCGAGCTATCGAACTGTGGTTGACGATACCGTGTTCAATGACGAGGGGCTTATGAGTGCATAGAGTCGACTGAAGAATGAAGTGCGCCTGTGTCGGCCGGTCAAATTGCACAAGCTAGCTGGACGATGCACAATTGACAATGATTAGCATAAACTACGCCCAACGCGGCCCCGGATGGAGCAGATTCAGCTCAAACCGACTACGTCGGATGAACGGCGCGTGAAGGCCAAAAAAACAGCGACAACGGAATATTGACAGTCGAGAGTCACCAAAGTGAAACAGCAGTTCGAGTCTATGTACATCATAAATAGTGCAGTGGTTCATGAATAAAAATTTCGGTTGCTTCCCAGACTTTGACTCTTGGAAAGCTATTCGAAACTGCTCACCTTGGGAAAAAAGATTGACGAGGGTTTCCAAATCATCCAAATGGATAAATGACAGAAAAGACCATCCGATCAGGCCGCACTCCTCTTCCTGTCCGAAACACTCAGACACGCTGTACAATAGAAAAGACAACATAAGCGTGTGGTTTGTGGTCCCAGGGGTAATTGATGCCGCATTCCCCTTTAGTGAACTGCGGAGACATTGCCATCAACAACTTACTTTCCATTAGCATCCTGAATCACCAGTAGATTGTCTAAGCTAGTGGAGCAGCTCAAAATTGAAGAGGAACAAGGATTTGATTCTGGTTGCATGACCTCCTGATGGGCAATTGATGATGGATTCAGGATCTCTGAAACCAGTTCCAAGGTGACATCGTTAATAAACTCATGTGGTTTGTCGTTTTCTCTTGTCTTCTTGTGCCTTGGGTTGCCATTTTTCGACGCTCCTTTTCGGGTTTGTTTGGTTCGCTTTTGTTCTATTGAGGGTCCAACCGAAATAGAGTTGTCGGAGAAGAAAGGAATAGAAAGATCTTCGTTCAGTATCAGCGGCGTCGAGTATGTAAGGGGAACTGGATGTAAGAGCAGCCATGCGATAGGAGCTAACGTGGTTCCATGACTCTCATTTTCTAGGGGACTCGCGGGGTTTGCATGGAGGCTCCTTGATTGGGATACTGAGAATTCAGTCAAAGGGTGAAGCATCATCGACGCCCAACAGTAGAATTTCTGTGTTCAAAGGAAGAAAACACAGTTGCACTCGTGAACAGCTATCTCCCTGAGATTACGTGTGCTTTTTTCAACCAGAACACAAGGTTCTCAAAGAAGGCATTAGTGTATCTACATACTCACAGCATAAAGCAGTATGGCGTGCTCAATTTGCCTTGTGTCGTACCGTGACAATGTGAGAATCAGAAGGACATCACTTTAGACATAATCAGTTGCGCAATGCAGTAGTCTCAGTAGCCCGAGAAATAAACTCGCAGGGGATGAAACCCGTTAAGAGAGGAAGTCAATCATACAGCGGAAGAATGATAATGCCATTTGTCATGAGTCAGTGCTTGAAGACATAATTTTACTCGGTATGCCCAACGCATAGGACTGGGGGCAACTGCTATCGAATCTATTTCTAACCGTAAATCTTGATGGGGTAACTTGAAGCACATTTCCGCCTATACGCCTCGCAGACAGTTAGAGGGAAAGGGACAACAATGCATGAAGACAGCTATCACAATGCCTCAGCTGGTCCACACCACGTCGACAAACATGACTCATGGACAGGCGAGGCGGTGTGGCACTGTCCCAGGCTTATGGCAAGTCCGAAGACTAATCTACAATAGCCTGACTCGAGCAGAATAGGTGCCTAGTTACTCCCACGTACGACAAAATGAAGGAAGCATGTACAGCTAACATTTGTAAGGTGGTGCTTGGGAACAGTTTGTGGCCACCGTGGTGACATCCTATGAAAACCTGTCTCCATAACCCATCTCGACAACAGTAAAAGACAACGGTCTCTGGATGGTTGCAACTGAGGTGGCGGTATCGGCTGGTTAGGTACTTTGCCAACTTTGGTATGACGAGGAATCAACTTTGGCCTCCTACTAAACGTAAGTACGAGGTACTTAACACACAGTATCAGTGTTATTCAGTCTAAGTTAATAACGAACGCACAGTCATTCCTGTAACCGCCGAGCTGGGTAGGTTGTAATATTGGTGCCATTATAAGGGATATTTTTAGGCTATTCAAAGCCCGAGTCTTCTTACTAGACGTTGTGATAATAGCTTATCGCTCAAAGTTAAAGTGCACAGCGTTATACAGAAAGCAGTGTTATGCACGAAATAAAAGTATGGTCTCTTGGAGTCGAATACGTCAAGGAGCTGGATGCGTGTGTTCACCGCATCGGTGTGGGATCAATACCACCTAAGTGTGACTCGAATATCAGTACCACTGAGCTGCTTAGTGATTAACTTCCCGGTTCAGTCTTACACCAACGTTTACAAAGTAGCTGTCTAAATTGATCACTTGATATCTTTCGCATGCCTGTTGGTTTATTACATCGAGGGACGTTGTTTCACGCAGCCGCAACTAGCTGCACGAAACCACGAGGCGACTTGCCGAGTACACGGAAATTACATGTGAAGCAACTGCCCGAAGACTGCGCGGTAGTGGTGCCTTCGAGTAAGGCGATATCAATGCTCACATATGCTAACCTGTCCTACGTGGTCGGGAAGTCACCAGTGCACATGCACTTTTATTCGTTGATGACTTCTCTCTCCTCCTAACAGGATTGCTGTCTGCAAGTTAACATTTCGCTGCTGACTTTCGCACCCCCTCTCATTTTCTTGACGATGTGAATCACGTCAGAGGGATCCACACATTTGGATTCCCAAACCATAGTTGACTAAACAAGCCGTGTTAAAATTAGAGGCACCTGGTTGATATCCAAAAACAGCTCGTTCATTTGGTCGCTTAGTGCAAGAATATCTCCGGAAGGGGACATTGGGCTATGTTTCAGTAATGGCCTAGTCTGGTAAACGCCCAATATATTCGTGCCTGTGTGGGGCACTTGGGCCGTAAACTAGTACTGCTGAATGATCATAGGATCTTGGCGTACGTGACGCTACTATAACATACTACCAATTTGTGCAAGCTTATCCAGTAGAATCTAGTGCGCGGTAGTTGTCCCAGGCGTATGGATGGGCAAAGGGATTCGATATATCCAAATGCAGTGCCATTACTTACATCCCTTTTCAAAGTCAACTGATCACAATTGAAGTATGGTGTTACATTACACGCCGTCTGGAGTGCGCAGTCGCAAGTATGCAGCGAAAACAGGATACAAATGGTGCAGCACTATTAGGTTTAACCTATCCTTATATACCAATTTATGCAATAAAAAGTAGCCCAATAAAAGGTATAGCAAACTGCGAGCGGTACACTATCCCTTACCGCTGTGGTCTCGGCCGGACAAACCGCAGCACCATACAACTCAGGTGAAACCGTAATTTCTACTCTGGAGCTTTTCTTGTCCCTGACTCCCGTGGCTCCCTTTTCTTCATCTAAAAGGGAGTAGTGCGCCTGCCTGGATGATGTCGGCGTATGCAAACAGATGAATTCATTCGCTTGAATATTTTTTCCGGAGCAACGGTTTATGCGGGAGTGTCCACAGTACCACATGTCATCAGAACGATGAACCGTCGATAAATTGGACTTTCGCTTTGAATTGAGCCCGATGGTGCCCACAGTACTGTGGGCTCGAGGAGGGGGAATGACAGATTGGACAAGATGTTCTATTGGTGCTCCAAGGAGAGTGATCTATTTTAGCAGGAAAATAGAAGAGCTTTGAATTTTGCGAATGACTGCTCTGCAGAGCTGACATATGTCTATCTGCAAACGTTTGCTAGTGAAATCATCTTATCGAAACTTAGCTGCACTTTATCATTAGGGCACTGAACGGAACGCTGACATGTGATGTGCACTGTGAAATTGGATTGCAACTCACGAGTGTAGCGACGGTTAATTAACTAAAGCCAACAAATCACAATTATTTGAGGGTTGCGTAGTTTTTGTCTGGTGAGTTGGCTTATCTCTCATTCGGTGCAGTTACCAGGGGTGCTTCTGAATGGAACATTAACCGACTGCTATGCAATGCGGTTCACTTCCACACTCAGCATTCATTTCTACTTGCTCTATAATACATTATTCACTTGAGCGTTGGAGTCGGGTATACAAGGGGATAGACTCTTACCAGAAAGGATGAATTGGTTATCCATTACGCTTCTGGAGACGCAATGGCAATCTAACTGGATGAGAATCCAACCGGTAGTGAATTCAACGTGTGTCGTTAAAGGCCCCCTGCTAAGTTAAAGGGTCACTTTGAAGCACTTATGCGACTGGATTGCCAAGCGCAATATAAATCCAGACCGGAGTTCATATATGGTGAATCTCGGTCAATTCTGCACTGGGACCTATGTAACAAGCGTTGCTTGCGACTTGGTGGCTTAGGGGTAGAGTCTACGTTTATAGTTGCAATTCCGTCATCGCTACCAGATGGATACAAAGGAGTACGAGATCGGTCATAGCGTGCAACGTTGCGAGCAGACACCACCAGGCATCCATCCTGTTGCTGATCAATTGCAAGTAATGCTTCTGTGGTGAAGTCGAAGGTTACGATGCGACTGTCTGGAAGGTGGCTGGTAAAAATTGTTGGAACACAAAAGGGACCCGGAATCACCTGACGATGGCAAGTATTGCTGGCTCATTACTGGAAACCTAGAGTATCCATCAGGATTTCGCACTGCAGTGCATAATTCCAATATGAACCTAGGTTTACTTTCGAGCAAACTTTACTAACTTCGAGTAATGGAACCACAAATAAAACAGATGAACACCAGTATTCGTTTCTCAATTACTGCACTATCTGGTACATCGCTTCTAGTAAACTCGATATTGTTCATGTCGATCTCAATGCTGTGTGACCTGGAGTGCGAAATTAGCAAGCTCAGATATTTCAACCGTTATGCATAAAAGACCTACATGTCCATGGAAGCTGACAGGGTCGGATCCCAGTTCATTCCATGATGATAATCCATATAAGGCTGGGCATTGTTTGCAGGGTCTAAGCCGTTATATCATGGCACAGCCAGGCTAATGCAATATTAAATAAACGGAGTAAGGTTCTATAGGCATCTCACACAGCCGAAGAAGACTGCTTACTAAGATTTTCCGTCATCAGCTGTAGAGACGTAACCATACTCATCAGACACACGCAAGTGAAAGTTTAGCGCTCTGCAAACCTACTCGGTACAAAATGAATTACTGTAGGCGCAGAACAAATGACTGTGCAAACCTACTGAATGTTCTTTGTGAAAAAATCTTGGTACAAGCTATAGAATTGTAAAACGTTCAAATCGTTCTTTTCTGAAAACGGCCATTGATGTTACCCCGACAATATTTTAAGGGGAAAGTGCTGCATCCAAGACAATAAAGCGGGCTTACCAGCCTGGGAGCCATTACCCCCGGTATTAAATGCATCTCATGAGCAGTCAGTCCAAAAGTACATGACTACCTAGAAAGTACAGTTGTAAAAATCTCTCTAACCCATATTAGTGAAATTTAATGTTTCCCTGCTTAAGTCAGCCACATCCATCACATTGGGCTGACTGAGTGCACCTACGAATTGTCCCGCTTCACGTCGCTAAATGGGTGCCTATCTTAAACAAGGATAGATTTAGCAAGGAGTACGGGGGCAAGTGAAGTGATAGAAGCTTAATTCGTTACATCAAAATGAAGTCAGATAGCCAGAACCCATTCGGACAGCATGATGCGGCAGTTTTCTTTGTTAGAGAGTCGTCAGCACTATGCATTCCACCTCTGCCTGTCCATCTGTCCAGACTGCATATAATGCTGTTAGGTGACGGCCAGTGTACGGTGGTCTTACGTTGTTATCTATATAGCAATTAGGTTGGATGCCTCTTGTGCGTAACTTAGGTGGGCGAGAACCGACAGTGGGATGGACAGTCGCCCCAGCAGGTGCTCAGCTGCGTCATTTCTAAGGATTTGCCGAGACTTACACCTTCACCGTTCAACAGCAGCGCAGCAGGTCGTCTTCCGGATGGTTCGCGGGTATTTGGATGCTGTTAGACCAAACCCGCTGTTATTCCCGTATGGACCATAATCAGGTCGAATGGGCCAAATAGGAAAGAACTGAGTTGTGGAGAGCGGTGAGTACGCGAAGCCAGAACAGGTGGCCTTTTTGCACGCAAATGTGACTAAGGTGCCAGAAGCCTTTGTACAGGTTGTTGAAAGCGACGCTGGTCATTTTGAGCGCCTCGACTTATGCTTATGGTGTCCCGGAATCACTTAGACAAGATGACTCGCCAGTCATTATGATGATGGCTGATACACCCCATTATTTGAGCTGCTGCGGGAACGTCAAGTGATCCCGCAAAAATACACATATTGCGGCACATATGTTAAAATTAGAAGAGAATATGCTGCGTGGTACACGAGAAGTGACCACGCGACTCCCAAACGGTAACGAAGCAGGTCTTCGTGAGTAACCTCGTCGCGCCAGACGCAGCGAGGCATTTGTACTACCATTGAGTGTCCCGACTTGTGACACTTTTTACTGCATCGGTAAAGGCGTCTTTCTCTCCTTCTCTCTGGTTCATGGTGCGGCCGTGGATCTCGTTCGTTTTGCTTGGGTGTCTCACTCAGTTGGCACGGTCTCCGCCCGTCTTCTGTACGGCGACTAAATTTCGTGGGGGTGTAACGGTCCGAACTGCGCAACCGCCTAATCGGCGTGTGCGAGCGACACTAAGCGGACCGGGGATCTGAAGTATAAACGGACAACAACCCATTGTTATTGTTATCAGTCAGTAGAGGGTTTAGGAGAAGAGAAACAGCAAATGTAAGGACGACAATGACAAAGATGTGCATCCCGAAACGCGGCACCGCCGTCTTGTCAACCCAGCTTATCGTCCCACCGCAAGCTGACACAAACACACACCCATATACCTGCAATTTCCGTGACGACGAACTAGGTACGGGTAAACCCCGGCTACGGTGATAAACGAATATCAAACAGGAAGATTAAAGGACAAAATGAACAGTTTGCTCTGTGTTCCAACTAACGTCGCTTTCAACTGTCCTACCACAGAGAGGCTTTCATAATTCTACGAAGTACGGTATGGTAACTCAAGCGATGGTGTGCTTATACCCTGATTTTGGCTGTATTGCCCAGCACAATGAGAAGACGAACACTAGTCGATGCTGGCATTACTTATTGTGTCTGTTCAATGCAAAATACTAGCTGCTACCAGTGTTCGTCTTCTCATTGTGCTGTTCATACAATTGAGGGGAACTAACTTGTAAATGTATTACTTGTAGGAAACGACGAGAATCTATACTACCGTCTCCTTACCAAGTAAATGCGATTGCGTCACACGACTATCCTGTGGAATCTTTTAAGTGAATTAATTTTTTGCCTCCCTAGAATAATTGCATTCTTTCTAAAGTAGTGAAAGGTTTTAAAAATCACCGGAGAATAAACGATTTTAACTAGACCTAAACTGAGGCAGGTAACAGTTTACTTCTGACAGAGGAATTAATCGGAGCAAGTGAATCACTGTATGTTTACTAGAGCATTCCTAATGAGCGCGACATGTTGAATAGTTCGTTTAGACTGTAAACTTTCAAGCGATCCTGACAGTTGACCACAGTATCATCTTTTCCTTCCTATATATGTTGACCAGAAGCTGCTGGATAGACTTTCTCCCAGTAGAATATAACTTGTAGTATTAGTAATAAGAGCAACATACGAAGAATCGTGACATTACTGTAGCGGCAGTGCACCAGAACCTGGTACCCCGATGCCACACACCCATAATGGCCCCAGCATTGAGGAATAAGCTTGTGGGATAAGGCGGAGTAAACGAAAAACGAAGTGCTTTAAGCAAACGCTCAGGATTAGGGAGTCCAAAGCTTGTCAACAACCCATGGTTACAGACAGCAAGCTATCCTGCGAGATTAGTTTGGCAACGGTGTGACAGCTTCCTTGTAGCTTTCATCGCACTGCGTCGTAGTCAGATATGCGGGTAACTTGTAGCATGGCTAGAGCATCCACAGGCTCTCCCACTCACCCAGTCAATGCCCGCCACTTCGGCCAACGACGGACTGGTGTACACGATACGGTTGTTGTCCAGTGGATCGACCACTACAGTGTACAGCGAGTGACTCCGTAAACTGAGTGTGGGCGCGTCAGTAGTTACGCCGAGATCTAAAACAAAAACAGTGGAAGAGTGGGAACGGTTTCAACGCGCAACTGGACCAGTTCAAATGTTACGTGTGCACCCGTCAAAACGCACAGAAGCATGGATGTCAATTGTGGATAATCTTATCGGAGTACAGGTTCTGATCGAACTAATGGATAACGGTATTTTTGAAGCAGAAAGAAACAAAGCCTGCAGAACTCCATCGAGCACTGATCGAAAGCATTGGAAGCAATCGACCGTTGGTGAATATATTAGATGCCCCACATGTTTTCGAGTGAAATTACGGTACCATATAACACATTTCTAAAGGAATCACACTTGTATATAAACGCCCTTTGACTGAGATTTCACGATATATGCTTCCGGAAGATTTCGAACTGCAAATCAGAGTTGCTCTTCAGCTGAGTTCTGGTAGTCTGCTCTAAACATATATCACTCATTACTCAAAACAGTGGGTGCGACTGGCTTCAGATCCGGCAATGAAAAAATTGCTACCAGTGTTCGCGTGTGGTACATGATAACCTAGGCAGAGTAGAGACTTCAGTATGGAGAACTCACCGAGATGGAATATGTGGTTTTTCATAATGAGGTTGGCTCGCAACCGACGATAGACCATGGTGTGCAGACTAATTTCAGTTGGTAAAACTGAGAAACACTTCTTAATCTAATCACCAAATCTAGTATTTGCAACTTGATAGGCTGTTTAAATGAACATTCGGGGGTATGGAACAATGGATTTAACACGGAAATAAAAACAAACGCCTAACCGTTTTCCGCAGGCAAAGAGTGAGATCAAAATTTTGTGTGTCAAAACAAAAGAACGCGTAACGGTGGACTTACCGCAAATTTCACGTGTGCACATTGTTTGGTTACGTGGTCACCTGTCCCAGAAACTTGGGTTAAATCGTATAATACAGGTGGTGCAATGCATCAAAAAGTCGAGTTTGAGTTCGGATAGCGTGGTAGCAGATAAGACAAAATGTGTAAGTAAGTTCCATGGCTATGACACACGAAAGAAGAAAAAGTTACGGTGACATTCTGCCCGGTTATTCTGTGTCGCCAAATTCAACTGGTGGCCTCGCAGTGAGGTGTTGTGACTTTTCAATAATGATCGGCATGGGTGGTTAGAATCCTGGAGGAGCTGATACACAAATATGAGATCACCCTGCAGAAGACGATATTGTCTGCTGAAACTCCTAAAGTCTGGTTTACACTGTTAAGGGAGGGGGAGCCATCCCTTCACATTTTTGTCGCCCTCCCTGGTGACTTCTCAAAAGAAGTGACGTCATGTTTTTGCCAGGGGTGACATACCTGAATGGCGTAATCGATGTGTAGTCTCATATAAGCGTTGAGCATTTGTCAAAAGAAAGTAGAATCAAATAGGTCAAACGTTCTCCACAGTAGGCCAAGTATTAACTGGCTTTTTTCATTGCCATTTTAGCCTGCTTTGAGCCTCCTAGATAGTCTTGCACCATCACCACTAGATCGCTTTCAATGGAGGCGTAATGCAGGATGTGTTCTTCCAGTCGATATTTGTAGGTGCTCTAAAGGCGTATGCTCGTTATTTTGTAGTTGACAGAGTTAAATTCAAGCTTGTTCTTTGTCGATCATCCGTAAGCCATGTCGAGATCACCTTACAGTGGTACTTGGTCGTCTGCTAGTTTGATTGCCCTCCAAATTTTGAGATGATCTGTCAAGAGTAGAAAGTTCGACGTCAAAACTGCCGCAAAGTCGTTTATGAACTGTTATAACGCTGTGCTCGCAATCGACCGGTTGACTCACTCTTACCGGTAAATCTGCGCCCTTACGCCTCCTCTGTTTCACGCCTTGACAAACCCGACAGGAACGAAGACAGAAGAAGACTAAGCAGACCAGAGCGGTCTTAGGAAAGAGAACGCTCATAGTTATATGTCGGCCTCACCAACTCTCCAAACATCACCAGGCGGATTTGGCTGTAAGCCCACGCTCCACACTTGCTTGTCCGCTTCGTCTGCCCAGTACACCGTCTTGCTCGGGCACTCCAGTCTTCGTCCGCCTACCCGGGGCATGGCAACACACGTGATGTCTGACGCGCGATTTCATCAGCTTCCGGTCAGGCCTTGGCAGCACGTCTGCTGTCTGATGCGCGATTTCATCAGTTTTCGGCTGGACCCTAACAACACGCTCGCAGGGTCTTTCCCAAGCACGATTTGTGGCGTTGTGCGTTGGCAATCAGCTTTCTCGCCCAGCTGTCATGAACACGAAAAATAATCTTGGTCCTAAGGGACGCCAAAATGAACCTGCACCGGTTCGGAGAGGTTGTTACGAACCCGCACATTCAAGCATCCTTGGAGTGGGAATGAATGAATCCAGCCTGGGATAAGATCGCCGATCCCCGAACTCAGAAGTTTGTGAAGAAGAATCCGATGAACAAGGTGCTTAATGCCTTCGAGAAATCAAGGCAAGTGGCAGCGACCCCTTCTTCAGCACCGACGGATTCCGTCCAGCTCGCACGGGCTAACAAAAGATTGGTGGCACATGAGCGCTTTTATCAGAATCCATGCTGCTCTTGCATGGTGATATGGCACTTTCCTAACTATCCCACAAATGCATCTGCAACAACATAATCCATGATCACAGCAAGTACAGGAAAAGAGTAATCGGGCGGTAGTGTGCTGGCATTTCACGCTTGCCTCATTTGTAAATGGGAGTGACTATTTCATGAGTCAACATTGTTGAGACCTGCATCTTACCGAAAGAGCGCTGGAAAATTGTGATAATGGTTCAGCCAACATCATGGCACCTACCATCAGTGATTTGGGGTGTAAGTTATCTGGACCAGGTGAACTGTACTTGCGTAGTGACATCAGTCGTTTCAGCACATCCGTGGCTGTGAGGGAAACGTGGCCAAATCCTTCTGGTGAGATGATTTGTGTGAGAATGATAAGAGTCGGTGATGCGGAGCAAATGTGGAACAAATATCGCGGAACAAGTATTGTAGGGTGTACGGCACATGCCCCTCCACCGAACTCCAATGCAAGCCAAATCCACAACGCCAGGTGTTAAACTAACAAAGTGACTCCTGCTAACATCGCCACTACTCCAAATCGCCTAAGCATTCCCGAACCCTTCATCGCTAGCCCATTTGCGCCAACTTCCCCCAGGGAGCGAGTGCCACACCGAAACACTCCACTTCAGTGACGGTCTCAGTTATAGAATTGGCGGGGGCTGACTTCAAAGTCAGCCGAGGCCACAATTGAGATTGCGTGTCGCAATCCAAGACACACGGCGGGTGATGCAAAATCTGAAACTTAATTTCCCCAAACCCATTTCCTCTCACTAGGCTTGGCCGAAACTCAAAAAAGGCTACTGTCAGTGACAGTTGTGTTGTAGTTATCTCCAACAGCACTCCAAAAGCAATAGCCGCAGTTGCAATTAGAACACCCGAGACCAATGTGGGAGGCGACGCTGCAGTGGTGCGTAGCAAATCGCCCGGTCTCTCAGCCACGACTCATAATTCTCTGAAAGACCGAAACAATTGAATGCACTATCCACTGCATGCACCAAATTTCCAGAGTCAGCATCGCATTCCTTGAAAGGGAAGCAGATGGACTAGCTGAGCCAGGAGAACACCATAAGCAACCTGCACGGTATTCTGACTAAGCTCACCAACCTAACGAGGATCACCCGCTATCCCGATTCAAGCACTACAGTGAAGCCGTATTTCTTCGGGTTGTGGTAACCTCTGCCGATAAGATGGAAGCTGTCACCCTTTCCAAAGCTCGTTACCAGAATGTATCCTGTTTGGTCCATAGATTTACTGACTTTCAGTGGAGCGAGCGCAAGCGTGCGAAGCAGTGGAACTATGGTATAATACGGATAAAAAAAGCCAAGGCTGGACAAGTTCCGTGGAATGGTTTGTGGGAATAACGTTATTGCTTGTAAGTAACACAAAAGTGGACTCACCATATTATCTACCTTAACACATGTGTATGTCCGTCTAGCCGATTTCGTAAGGTTGGTGAGTACAAGGTTTGTCTGCGTCTTGTCGTCACTCAATAAACAACATTTAAATCAAGTAATGTCGAGTCGTTATTTAAAAATGGGCAGCGTAGGCGCTGAAATGACAATACTCGAAAACGTGTTTCACGGTTGACAAACTCGAAGGAAAAAGAATTCCGGCTGCACTCCAGCCGGCTGTAGGGAGTGGCAAGTTTCAATTTATAACCCTTCATTTCTGTGTTGCAGCTATGCTTCAGGTGGCGGCAAGCGTGACCGGTGTTTTTCAAAATCTGGAACGCCAGGATGAGGTCACCTCGTATATGGCGATATCATCCGCTGTACACTCCCAGGGCTTTCAGTCGCCTATAGAATTGTAGATGGGACCAACCCTTCACATTTTTCGTTGCTCGTCGCTGTGCGGTCTCCAGTGCAAGCAGGTTGCGTTTTAACTAGAGTTGCCTAGCCTGGATCGCGTACTCTACATGTGGCCTCACATACGCATTGAGTATTTGGGGGTAGAGGAGGGATCGGACCTCCCGAACACCCTCCGTAACATACCAACATGTTGGTTAGTAGTTTTGGATGCCTTCAAGGACTGCGCTGAGCAGCCGAGGTCGTCTTGGAATACTACCCCAAGGTCTGGCTCTTGCGATGCGGTGTTCAGCATATCATGTCCAAGCTTATATGTGTACGTCGGCTTGCGGCGAACATGCACGTTTTTGCACTTGTCCGTGCTAAACAGAAGTAGTTTTAACTTTAGCCATTCAAAAACGCAGTCTAAATCTTGTTGTAATATATCATGATCTTCTTAACAGTCGATTGCCTTCCATGTATTGATATCATCGGTAGAAAGCAGGAAGTTAGATTTGATGGCATTCGCAAGGTCGTTAAGGAAGAACAAGAATAACCGCGGCACAAACACCGACCCTAGTGGAACACTGCAATCCACACCAATTGGATCAGAAAATGAACCTCAAACTCGAATTTGAAGGCGCCGCTGAAAGAGGAAGTTTCCGATCCATCCACGCAGCTTTTGGAGAAAGATACGGTGATCTATGCGGTCGAATACTTTGGAGAAGCCTAGGTAGATGACATCAATGCCGGTCCCACTGTCGGCTATCTTAGTCCAACTGCCACGGGCAAGCAGTAGGTTGGTAGTACATGACCGATGCTGACGGAATCTGTGTTGCTCCGGTACTATGATGTTAGACCTTTTGAAGTAACCCATTACAACCTCAGCTATGATCGATTCCATAAGCTTAGAGAGTACCGGGAGGAGAGTCACTGAGCGATAGTTGGCTGGCTCTGAACCGCTACCACTTTTAAAATCGGGGTAATGATGCCTTGCTTTCACATGTTAGGGACCTGCTGTTCATCCAGGCACCTTTGGAAAAAATCTCGTTAATTGTTCAGCTGTCCTTGTGGCTGCTACTGCAGTGCTTTCGGGGAATGTTGTCAACTCCGGGGGAACTATGGGTGCGCAACGAGAGGAGCTTCCTCAAAATACTCGCTGAACTAAAGGTTATTAGGAGAACAGCTATTAGACATTCATTTATTGTGACCGAGCTTGATAGCTATTCTTTACTCTTCCTATTTTCTATTCTTGACTGTTGTTTAACCGCTCTACTGGGTTCGCCCGATTGGTACATCCGCGTCATTGTTAATGGACGCTCATCGTCATGCCCTTCTCAGCAGCGCTGTTTGCAAGAGCGTATTGTATTGGTTTTTTCTTCTCATCACTGTTCTACTTAGTTATGTTAAAGGAATATTTAGTGTCACACAATTATTGTACTAGTTTTCAACGTTTGGGTCTGCATTCCTTATTCGCGTTTGTTTCGTGACTTTTGTTTAAACGTTTCATTGCGTCATTCTGATTGGCCAGTGCCCGTCACTGTAAATGGTCGTTCGCTTTACTTTTGGAGTCCAATGATGTTATTTTTAGGGACCTACGCGATTCGCCCTTACATGGTTGGCGGCATCCGGTTTCGGATTTGCCTGTCACTGTGGCAAGCCACAGGACGCCTGCGCCTACAGAGGGACCATGGATGGCTTGCGCTGCACCACCCACAGCTCCAACCACATACCCCATATCCAGTGTAAACCCGAAGGAATAAGACCGGGAGGCATGCGGATGGGAACCACGTTTCATCAACGGAGCCGGCCCACACTCCTTCACAGGCAAACACAAGCACGCTGTATTTGGGGAATCAACCGCACACAAGGCGGTGGCTGGACCGTAGTCCGCTCCACACTGAGTGCATGGAACCGCTCTTTGAGCCTAGCACGGCCACAAGAACCGTGCACCCCGTCCCCTCCAGCAACGACCAACTGTCTCCTGGAGCCAGTATGAACGATGTAGTGCGTAATAGACAGGTAGGCACCTTGTCAACATACACATCAAGCGCAACCATACCAGGGATATCAAACAACAGCCGTTCACTTTAAACGACAAGCTGAAATAAAATAAATCCAATAATGCACACAGATACGGTGGCATAACTCTTCGCTAAATTACCATATGAAGTAAGTTGGTTAGCAACAAATCCGTGATATGTAAGAAATGCCCACAAGTTACTTAAAATGCTACAAACGCAACAAAATTACCGAAGATGAGCGCAATGATTGTAAGCAACGTGGCCAGTTAATAGAACATTATTCAGGGAGGCAGAACAAACCAAATAAAGCGGAATGAAATTTAGCCAGCTTAAAAAGACCTAGTTTAAGTGTAAGTTGGTTTAGCCCAACTGCGGTGAAGAAGCATCAATAATGCAACATCAGCCTCAGCATTGC